TGAAAAAAAAATAAAAAATAAAATCTTGTTTTGAGATTTTGTTAAATAAATAAATAAATAAATTTTTTTAAAAATAAAAAAAAATAAAATACCTTTCTCAATGTCTTTGACATTTTGTATATTATGTAATACAACTGTTTCATCTTAATTTTGTGGAAATATTTTCCTATATTTTGTAGCTTTATTTTTTTCAGAGCTTTTTTACTACATAGAGAATTTATTTTTATTTTACTTTGGTTGAGACAGAGGTCTTGTGATGTAGCTCTGGCTGGCCTAACTTTGAGGTGATGCTCCCGCCTTAGCAGCTGGAGTGCTGGGATTACCATCATGGGTCGCCATGCCCAGTTTAAGTAGTTCCTTTTTAAACCTCTGTGGATTGAAATGACAGCATTACTTTATGCTACATTTTCATACATTCAGGAATTTATTTCTAAGTGACTTGATTCCCTCGATTACTTGCCAATTCCATTGCAGGATCAAGCTCACTTAATTACTATGGTTTCACAGTATATCTTGATGTCTCATAAAGTCACTTATTTCCTCCTTCATTTTTATTTTTCAAAATTGGGCTAGCTATGCATTTGCAAACGAAGTTTGAGTATCTTGACATTTTTCTTAGCATGCTGGGGCTTTGATTCTATTAACCGGTCAAGCACTTTGGTGAAAAGCTGTGTCTTCCCCCCCCCCCCCCAAACAGGGATTGAACTCAGGCCCTTACGCTTGTCAGGGAAGCGCTTATTCTACTGAGCCATCTCCCGGCCCCTGTGTCCTTAGATATAGTACTGATTGTTGCTGGATGTCGTGGCGCGCACCTGTAATCCCAGCACTCAGGAGACAGGAGGATCCCTGAGAGCCTGAGCTACAGAGTGACTTCAAGGTCAGGATGAACTACGTGATGATCCTATCTCAAAGCACAAAACAAAACAAAAAGCAGTTTACCACTTAGTTTGTTAAAGGGTGCACCAACCCAGTACTGGATAAATGTACTTCGATCTAGTGCAAGCACTCTGGTATCTATATTGCTGCAGAATTTTATTATTTTATGTAAACCGCATTTATTAGCAGATGATGACTGTCGGGTGTCTCTTGTGTGGATCCACCGCGGAGCTGTTTGGTTCCACCCCGAGGTGCGGCCAGCAGAGGGACAGGGGCGGCCCGGAGCTGCTCTGTGGCGCCGGCCAGCGAGGCCTCCAGAAAGGCGGGGCGGGCGGCTCTGCGGGGCGCACAGGGCTGCTCTGGCCGCGGTCCCCTCCGCGCTTCTCTTCCACTCTGCGCTCCAGAACCGACACCTTCCTGAGGAACCCCCGGAGGCCGCGGCTGCGGCTCGCAGGCCCTGAGCCCTGCCCGAGGCGCAGCTCCCTTCCCGGTCGCCCCTCTGGGGAACCGGCGGGCTGCATTCCGGGCCGGAGCCGGGCGGGTGCGCGGCCTCGCGGAAGGGAGTGAGGCTCGGGGCGGCGCGCAGTCCCCGAGGCTCCGCCAGGCGAGCAGAGCGGGAGTCACTGCGAGAACAGAAGTCACAGAGTCCGCCGACCACGAAGCGCACGCCCCCGCAACGAGGGCGGCCGCTGCCCTGCGGCTCCGGCCCTGCAAGCTGGCGGGGAAGTCGCGCGCCCGCCGCGGGCAGAGGGGCGTGGCTCGGGCTTCGTCCCGCCCCCGGCCCGGCCCGGCTCCGCCCCTTGCCCTCCGCCGGCGCGCGGCCATGGAGGTGTCCATCCCGTCCTTTCGCTACGAGGAGAGCGACCTGGAGCGCGGATACACGGTAGGCGCCGCCGCGGCCGCCCCGGTCCCCGCCTTGCCGGCTCGGCCTGCGCCCTGCTTCTCCCGCCGCGCCCCCAAGGCGCCCCCGTCGGGCCCGAGCCTCCCCGCCGGCTCCCCTAGCGCAGGCTGCATCGCTGGCCGCTGGAGCAGGCGCGCGGGCCGGTGTGGCGCTCCCGGTCGGATCTGGCCCGGTCCGGTCCCCTCCTCGGCTCCCAGCCCCGGGCGGACAGGCACGGCCCCCGCCTGTGGGTCCGCGGGTCCGGGTCAGGTCACTGAGCCCGGTCCCGCGGGCGCCCTCCTCCCCTCACCTGCTGCAAGCCGAGGCTCCTCTCCTCCCACTCAGGACCCGTGCTCACTCCTCCCGCGTCACGCGCGGCCGGGCCTCCCTGGAAACCTGTGCTGCGAGCCCGGGCCTGCCGCGTGCCCTCCGGACCCCTGCAGGGCGTTCGCCGGCCGGTTCTTGACCTGGCTGCAGTCGGGACGCCTTGCCACTTCTGGCCCCGAGACTTAGCAGTAGGGGCATTGTTCTGTGTACGCGTTTCAGGCAGGCTCGCGTGGACACAAGCGTCTGGGGCTGGCGACTGCAGAGAGCCTGCAAAGCTGTTTTGACATCATTCACTTGCTGGGTACCAGTGCACTGATTGGTGTGTTGTAACTCCTCTCCCCTCTTCAAATATCCGCGTTTGGTGACAGTCTTTATAAGCCATTGTGTTTTCACAGCGAACACTCAATCACTCTCACAGAGGAAGACTTGGAATCTAAAGCAGTGACTGGGGAAAATCATCCGTTGTAGTGGGTTTCCAGAATTACTTGTTTGGAGTGTCCCAAACCTAAAGAGGTTTCCGTGGAGAGGAAGCCGCTGTGAGGGCCCCATCAGCTGTACTGTACATGGTCCTGGCATGTTAACATTGGTTAAATATCCTGTTATTTTCTTTAAGAAAAAATTGAACCCTATTGAACCCATTGGAAGCTGTTTCCTTGGAGCTTTAGCTGAGACTAAAACCTGCTGCCTTTCATTCTCCCAAGTGTCTCTGCCTTTCCACCAGTGCCTCAGCAAGGCCCGCACTTTTCTGGGCATTCATTTAGGATTTAAAGATTAGGAGATGATGTTTAAGACCTTGGTCTTCAGGGAAAAGTTGACGCTGGATTCAGGGGTCCAAGCTAAAAGTTAATTACCTGCAAAAGTAAACATTTTTAATTAGATAGAATTCAGGTTCATTGCCCCTTTATTCTTCTTTCCTTAGTGCATCAGTATTTTCCCCCTTAAAGTTTTCAGCTACATTTCTGTTTATTACTTAGTGATCATGTTTGTGTTTTAAATTTTGAAAATGTTACAGTAGATGCTAACAAATTTAGTGATAATTTCAAAGTAGAAATGATATCCAGGCATAGTGGTGCACACCTGTAATCCAGGCTCAGGAGGCTGAGGCAGGAAGATCACTGTGAATGTGAAGCTATGAAGTGGGCTATGAAGTGAGTTCAAGGCCAGCCTGCACAACCCAGTGGGAACCTGTCTCAGAAAGAGCAAAAAAGAGTAGAAGTGATGGTTCTTCCTCCTTGCTGGTGATTCTATACTCCCAGAGAAAAATGAACACTTGTGTGCCAGACTATAGAGTGTGATTTAAACAGATTTGGAAGGACTCTTTTGGGTAAACTTTGTACACGATTGCTTATATAATTCATGTGCTCTTTAAAAATTTACTTAAGGGGCTGACAAGACCAGGTGTGGTGGTATACGCCTGTAATCCCAGTGCTGGGGAGGCTGAAAACAGGAGGATCACTATGAGTCCTAGCTGTGTAGTAAGACCCTGTACCAAGTACATAATGAATAAATAAATATAATTTAAAAAATAAAAATTATTTTAGGGCTAAGGATATAGCTCAGTAGCAAAGTACCTGTCTGACGAGCACAAGGTTGTGAGTTCAATTCTTGTACCCTCCAAAAAAATTACTTTAAAAATTATAAGTCATTAAAATTGAAAGCCAAACTTATCTTTTGAGGTAATTTTTTTTTCCTTTGTGAGTTTGTGAAGCAGCTCATAGGTACTTTTTTCAGTAACTGCTTTTATAACTGTACAGCTATGATTCATTCAACAAATATTAACTGAATGCTTGCCATGTGACTATTGTAGAGTGATGAACTTTATTTTGCTTAAAAACTAAGAAGTATAAGCTCAGTTTCTTATATAGGAAACTAGTAAAATCCTGTAACAAGTTCAGTGACAGTCCTGTGCTTCTGGAGATAGACATGTTCTTAGAGAAGTTTTTCTCTGTGCTATGAAAACATACTGTTTTCTTTTCAAAGAATATATCGCCAAATTTTACTATAACTGTTACCACATAAGTTACGAACTTCCTCGCTGACAGGGTGCTTTCCTTGATCGCAGTGTGCCACAGTTTGTTTAGCTGGGTGTCTATTAATGGCCATTAATACTTGATAATTTCTAGCAACTATAGCTAATGTTGAAGTAAGACATCCTTGCACAGGCATTTTGATAGCCACTACTAGGATTTCTTTAAAACATTAGCTAAAAGTGTCACGTGCAGACCTTTTAGTTTTTGTAGGAGTGTGGTGGTGCACAGTGGTAATCCTGGCCAGTGGGGGCTGGAGGTAGGAAGATTGCAAGTCAGAACCCAGCCTTGGGCAATGTGGTGACTCAGTGAGACCCTGTTTAAAAAAGAAGAAGAGCTGGAAATACAGTGCAGTGAGAAGGCTCTGATTTTAATCCCCAGTATTGGGGAAAAAAGTTTCCACAGATATTGTTCAATTATTATTCAAAAAGTGCTTGCAAATTTGTGCTCAGTGTGTACAATAATTTACCTTTAAAATGTGATTTTTAGCCCTTTAAACATTTAAACATTTCCTGTGGGCCTGCTCTGTGTTGGGTAGGGAATTCCAAAAGGGAAAAGGTTCTCAGCCAGTCTGAGTGACTTGGAGACTACAGGGGAAGGGCCTGGAAAATCTGCTGAGCCCTGTGTCTGGGTTGGTCCTGCCCAGCTGAGGCCAGTGCTGGGTAGGGCCAGTGCTTTAGAATGCTGACTTTGATTAGTGTTCTGCTAAGATCATGATTTTTAGAAAGAGGAAATGCAGAGCAAAAATATCACTTTTGAGCAAAAGTATTTTAAACTCCTAACTATGCCAAAATAAAATAAAATAGCAACTTCAGAATCAGTTTGGTTTATAAACAAGTAGGACAAAATCTGTAGTAAAGCTTAAATGAACTCAAATGTCGCCCCTGGGGAGGGCATTCTACCTCATCCCCTCTATGGGGTTGCCTGGTTACCTCATGTTTCACTATGGACTAAGACCTCCAGAGGCTGGAGAGGTGCTGTCTCTACCACTGCCTGGGAACCGGCCGTCATATAGTAGTGACTTAGACACTTCCGCTAAGGACAGAATGAATAGCTGTGGTCTCTGACAGGCAGGCACTAGGATTGTGAGCAAGAAGGAGCGCAGTGCACTAGGTTAGGGCTGGGTGCAGCTGGAAATTCAAGTACTGCAGTATCTGCAGTTGTGCAAAGCGAAACCTGAAAGAAGTGAAAGGAGACTGGGTCAAGGGTGTGCAGTGAATGAGCTCAGGCCTGCAGTCAGTCACTGCAGGGTTTGAAGGAAGGAAGGAACATGCTGGTGTTTCATTTTTTGAACTTTTTTATTTGTTAGTCCTTCTGGGTTTTTTGAGACAAGATCTTACTCTATAGGCCAGGCTGGTCTCAAAGTCAAGGCAATCCTCCTGCCTCAGCCCTCCTGGGTGCTGGGATTGCAGGTGTGTGCCACCACACCTGATAGGTGTTTTGTTTATTTAGGACAACTATCTGTCATTTTGGACTACTGTGACAAAATGCCAAAACTAGGTAGTGCATAGTTCACAGATTTCTCTCTCATGGTTCTGGAGGCTGGACAGAAGGAGCCCTGAGTGCTGCAGGTTCTAAGTCTGTGGATGGTCTACTCCTGGTTTCTGGCTAGTGCCGGGTTGCTGTGCACCTACCTGGTAGGGGAGACAGGTTCTCTGGGCCAGCTTTTTTTTTTTTTTTTTCTATTTTAGGGAAGGGTCTACAGGGTGTTCAGGGTCTCCCTACTAGATCAGGCTCATAGTGATCCACCTGTTTACACCTCCTAAGAGCTGGGATTACAGGGGCATACCACCACGCCCAGTCTCAATTGCCAGCTCAGCATGCCCCGGAGGTGGGGCTGGCATGGCAGGCCCGGGGATCGAACTCCCGCGCTCTGTGCCTCCTTTCAGGCACTTTAATCCGCTGAGTTATTTGGCTGTGGGCCAGCTTTGGAAAGGTGCTGTTTCTGTTCACTAGGTCTCCTGCTCATCTCCACACTCCCTCTAGATGCTCTTGCCTCAGAGGTGAGGATTCCAGCACTCTGATCCGAGGGGGACCGAGATAGGGACACCACAGCAGTGGCCATGGGTTCTCCCTCACTGAAGAGATCATTGCAGCTAACCAGGCAGAAAAGATCAACATGAAATAAGGAATGACAGTGCCCAGTGGCTGTTGTGAGATAGAAAGTGACTCCTGGGTGGGGACAAGGTGCAAGTGACAAGAAGAGAGCAAGGTGATAGATCACTAGGAGCTGCTGGCTTTCAGTGAGAGGTGTGGTTGTGGGCCGTCAGTGCTCAGATCATGTAAGGCCTGGACCAGGAGTAAGACTCCGAGGGACTGCTGATGATCTGAGATGAAAAGGTGCAGTAAGGAGAGAGGGAGAGCTGAAGGTGAGTGCTCAGCATTGATTTGAGAAGCTTAAAAATATAATTCTTCATAGGCCACATACAAAACAAGCAGACAGGGCTGGGGAGATAACTCAGTGGGATAATTGCTTGCCTGGCAAGTGCAAGTCCTGAGTTCGATCCCTGGTACCACCAAAAAACCAAAATAAAACAAAACAAAAAATCAGGCCATCAGGCATATGTGTTCCTGGCAAGTGCAAACACTTAGGTGTACGAGTGACATCTGCACAAGGTTACCGGCCATGAGCACATGATTTGGAAAGAA